GGGGGGGGGGGGGGGGGGGGGGGGGGGGGGGGGGCTTACGTGAAATTCCCTCCGTGGTGGGGGTATGGATATTTCTGGAACTACACAATGTACCATATATTTGAATCTTCCCTAAAGGGATTTCTATTAATATATTGTCTTAATTGTAATTCATTTTTGTTACCTATGGTCCTGCCCCATGGTTAAACCAGCTCCTTGTTCAACCAGCTTGCTGAGGTTTGCAATCTCAAGTTTTAAAGACTGAATTGTCTCTCGTGCTCTCTGCTCTTTGTCATGGGCTGCGTCTACCATTTTCCATGCTTTCTCGATTTCCTGATCAAACATAACAAAAATTTACATTTTAGAACAAAATATTGTAACATTGTCAATCGATCCTTGCTGTTTATAACTCCTTTTAAAAAACTGTTGTTGATTTCAAATTTACAACAGAATGTGACCTCATAACTAGAAAGAATTTCCCTGTTCATGTTGCTGTTGGATGTTGTGTTTATGTACAAGATCTTAAAGCAATAATACATAGAATGCTGCATGTAAATGACAACTCTTGTTATGTTTGCTATTTGGAAAATCATTTAATGGAGTTGTGTTTAGTCATTCAGTTTCAGAAACTCTCATAAAGTCACAAGCTGTACTCTATGGGTTGAGTACTGAAACGTCCATAGTGTCATACAGGATATCATTGCAGTTTATAAAGGCCTGGGAAAAACTAGCCTGTTGATCTGACCACCAAGTGTTAAAACCACAGGCACAAGACTTGCACCCAAGGTGTGAGAGTTGGCAGGTATAAGACCAGACAACACAGCATCTTGCACTGTACATAAAGATGGTACAACAGACTATGGTAGAGCTTGGGTGAACAGCAAAATGTTGTTGTGGAAACAAAGATGTCCCTTTAAATGTGTACATGGTTGTGGAACTCAGTTGTCTACTCATTCCTACAGACAATAATTTCTCACATCTAGCTCAGAAATTTTAGTCATTATAGTCTTAACTGACACTTTTTCAAGAAATACATAATCTTCAACCAATGCAAAAACACCCTGTAGATGAGGTGTACTTTTCCAGATTCTCAGATTTTCAAGGGAAAAGTGACTGCTGACGCTGTTATGTTCAGGAAAAACACATCCTGTGACTAGCCCTGGGAAAATTGGAAACCAAGTCGGAATTCTTTGGATGTCTCCAGACATGGTTGCATTTTCCTGGATAAAAACCTGATGCCTGGGATTTGGGAAAAGTTGGTATACCATGTGAAAAGGTGTAAAATGTTACAAGTAGAGTAAGCAGTAGTTATTTCCATTTCGGTCAAGAAGTAGTTATCACATTGCTACCTTTTGACTTCTCTTTAATATTTAAACCGTGGTTACCTTTTTGAGCGAAGCAATCGTGGTCTGATCTTCCTGGGACAGTTTTAAAGCAGTTTGAACTTTGGAGGCATTCGCCACAATCTCTGCGTTCAATTCTCGACATTTTTGCATCAAACGTTTTTCGCTTTCATGGGACTTCTTCAACGCTCTGTGTAACTTTTCATATTCCACACGGAACTTCTCCAGACTTTTATCTCCCATGAGTTCGCCGAGAACCTGCAAAGTTGAACGAGAATTAAGCTGACTGATTATGCTTTGGTAGTGGTAAACACTGCAAGGGAACCACAAATTATAAAAGCTTATGTCTTTGCATGTCCCAAAAATATCTTAACAAAGTTGAAGTCACAGACATTCAAGATCAGGCTCTTCTTTAATACATACCTCTTGAAAATCTCTTTCCAGAGCTTCGAAGGCATTTTCTTCGATAGCTGGCTTTTCTTTAAGATCTTGTGATTTTTTCTCCGTCTGAATAAAGTAAACGGCCGAGTGTAAGTAAGCAGATTGAAAACCGCATCAACAGAAAGCTCAAATTGAACAAACTTTTACCGCATACACTGTTGTAAAACATTAACAATAGAAGTAAGTACATTACCTCCATCTGTTCCTTTTACTCTTGCGGACTAGAAGTCCGATCGCAGGTTGTAAATCTTATGGTTTTGTTGCTACTCTGTTTGTGCGACTTGACTTTGGCAAGATGGCGGACAACGTTTGATGCTTTGTTTCTATGGTTACGGATTATTTACTCGATCCGTACCCAGTTCAGCTCATAAAATAGAAGAGGCCCGCAATGCGTACAGATTAATTTATGTGATGGGAAAGCTGGGCCATGGGGGAAGCCAGCGGAAAGAGTTAACCACACACTTACCACTACTCCTGTGCGGCGAAATTATACATACGAATATCACAAGTAGAATCTTGTTGCTGCCATTTATTTAAAACGTCTCTTTTTCTCAGAAGCAAAACGATGAAATGAGAAAGAAAACGTTCAGAAAAAAAAAAAAATTACAGGAAAGGATCGTCTGGGGGTACTCCACTGAGAAGAACATATACAATTCCGCACAAGAATACGATATAACTGTGATAAAGTGAAATTGATTACTGGATTACTATGATTTACATCGCTACATGTTGCTTCAATTGTCGATTGCATGCAGTTTAATGAAAAAAATGCGAAAATTTTGTAATTTCAATTGAATGCGACTTTCCTAAAATCGCAAAAATTAGTACCCAGCAAGAAAACAACAGTTTTTTTACAATCGCAAAAAATAGTTCTTGCAAAAATTAGTTCCCGAGAAATAAAAAAAATCACCGTTTCGCAAAATTAACTTGAACTCCCGCAAAAATTTAGTCCCACACGGTAATTCTTTCACTCCAACAGTAGTGGAACGTCTTTTGAAGACAATTGCTTACAAACGGTTACATCTGCACAGTACTGTTTAGCCACGCGACATAAATATGAGACAAGCTGGAAAAAGGCGAATTTACTCTGTAGTAATTCAGTTTTGGGCTGCAAATAGCCCATGAGTTAAAAACAAACAAACAAACAAACGTGGCAGCCAATTCAGAGCCGTTTTAAATTTTCGAAAATTTAAAGTAGCCCTGAATCCTCTACCACAATATTCTTTCAAACTCGGTAAAAAGTTTCATTTCAACATCTTTATCCACAATTCAATGAAAAAAATCGGGTCGTCAAACTTGTTTTTGAGTTATAAGCTCTTAAACTTATGGCGTTGTTGACGGGTTGTGCTGGTGCAGTGCGCGAGACACAATCATAGTCTCTTGCTGGTGCTGTAGTTATTTGCATTACCAAGAAAATGACTGCAGCTTGTTCACTACCAAAATGGTTGGGCATTTGGTTGATGCCACTACTGTAGTGTCAACAGAAATAGAGTGACAGTATTAATATATCAAAGCAGAAAACAGGCTGGAAACTAATTGCCAGCTGCTTGCTTGTGTAGCCGAATATAGACTAGGTACTAGAGTCAAAGTGATGTCGGAATTTCCTGCATAAAATGACGAATGAACTTTGCACCTCATTAAACGTTTGGAAAAACGCCCACCTTTGTTGAGAGCTAATCGCCCTTAGCTTAATACACAATCTAAATTTAACCCTTTTCCCTGAAACGTATGGTCGTAAAATAAACAACATATCAGCAGCTTATAAATCTCTTTTTATGATCTACTATTCGGGAAACAAATCCGTACACTTCTGTAATGTTGCAGGCCTTTGCATGACAAGAAGTGTTTTCAATTGGTAGTAATAAGGAGAGATGCACGAAAGCAATTCCAAAGCGCTAAATACATGTACGTCATTGCACACAGAACATAAGTTAACAAGGAAAGAATTCACTGAAGGACTTAAAATAAGCTGATTTATACTGCACGGGTTAAGCTGCGTACAGCTGTGCTTTAAAGGGTCGTAAGTTATCATTGGGAGTGGGCAGTTGAATAAGAATAGTTAGTGACAAATATTGATCACAAATACTGGGTTAAAATCATAATAAATATTCAATATTCATCAGTTTCTTAACCCCACAGGTATCAGTAATGAATATATACGTGCCGCAAAAACATGATAAATAAATGTCGAGTCACATATGATATATAGACTAGGAATTATGTGTACTGGCGGGAAAAACAAAGAAAACAATGGCTATTATCTGTATTAATATTGACAACCGATTTATTTGTGACGAGCAATTAATTATTTACCCGCAGCACCGTAAACAGAGAATTATTGAGTCCGATATTGAGTTAATTTTAAAAAAGTAATAAAAATTCCTTTTCCATATTTCTATCGAGTCGCAGAAATACGTGCGGAATTACATTTAGCGGGGAGAACTAGAAATACCGCTGGCATTTGCGCTTTCCTACGGGTGTTTTCTAGTGGACTTGATAATTACCTCTTTTGTTTTCATTGAGAAAGCCTATTTTCTTGTGTGCAGTAAAACATGGTTATTCATTCAAGGTGATGTTTGTGAATACGTTTTTAGCTCGTCTTAAGTAGTACTATTTGGGATCAGGAACAATATGGTTTGGCCACAAACCACAACCCCGATAAAAGTGTTGGGTGGGCCATCTATTTTCTCCTCCCTCCTACTTGTCAATGTTATAGCTAAACAAAAGACTTTACCATCATCGTCGTCGTCCTCGTTGTTTTCTTCTTCCTTTACGCCCCAAGGGGAGCATGCGGCATCCACTGGTGCCCTCTATTGCACATGCACATGGTTCTTTGCTAATGCTTTGGCCCCTCCCGGTAGTAGCCCACTCATTCCAACCGGCCTAGTAAAAAACTTACTAAGCACACTAAATCGGTTCAGTAGAACTTCCACATTGATTTTGGGAAGAGACGAGACAGTCAGTCAAGAAACCTCGCACCTTGCAAAAATCTTATAGAACTCTCACCATGTAACATCTCATAACATTACGATTGTATTAGGGTTCTCAAAATCCTAATACATTTTGTGTTTCGTAGGCGACAATCGTAACCAAGATTTACAAGAAACAATTCGCGCTCGTGGAAGTAGTTCCTGAGACAAGTCCCTTGAAGAGTATAGAGGAGGGAACTGGTTGCAAAATGTTTTTGGGGAAAAGAATTATTCAAGTTAATTTGTTTACAAGGACTTGTCCCACACAGTGTTTACACGAAGTGACAACCATAAACAAGTCCCTGAAACTTGTTCCTTCAATATTCAAACTAACCGAGTGGGCGAAACGACTTCAATTGTAGGTATGTATGTCACGCGATACATTTGAGCACGAGTTGTTTTGGGTTTAAGTCTGTTCTGATTTTTTAAAAGCAACTAGGCCACCACCACACACAAGAATTTCATGGGTCAGATGTTAAAAGAGAATGGGAAAAAAAAGCTTTTGTTCTGGGAAAACGTTTCCGGAACCGTGCGAACGTCAAGACCCACACAAATTTCCGAATTACATTTTGTGTCGTATCTGCTTAAGTGCACTGCATACATAGGTGCTGTAGAACTGTTAAGACCTGTTAAGGAGATCCGCGATCAACCAGCATCCACAGAGAGCAGCACTGCTCACCTTAAGCCTTGAATTAAATGGTAATGTGACGCACAGC